TTCGCTCATGAAGGAATAGAGTGGCGGTTCAATCCTCCGCGAGCACCCCACTTCGGAGGAGTATTCGAAATTGTTGTGAAAGCTGCTAAGCGTGCCATCACCACAGTACTCGCTAATGCTTCGCTTACCGACGAGGAGTTGCTGACCGCACTGATTGAAGCAGAGCATCTCATCAACACTCGTCCGCTGACTACAGTCTCAGATGATGCTCAGGATGATCAGCCCCTCACTCCCCAGCATTTCCTTGTGGGACGTATGGATGCGCCTCTGGCCAAGGAAGTGATGGTGCTTGGTGAGCATCAGCATCAGCGGAAGAGATGGGCGGCAGTACAGCGATTAGTAGACGACGTGTGGCAGCGATGGAAAAGAGAGTTTCTACCATCCTTGAACCTCCGGAAGTGCTGGCGCCAGGCCAAGAAGAGCTTGAAGGTGGGTGACGTGGTGATGTGGATGAGTCCCGGCACTCCGCGCGGAGAGTGGCCATTGGGTCGCATTATGGAGACCTTCCCAGGAAAGGACAACAAGGTGCGCGTCGTGGACGTCAAGATCGGAGGCAAGATCCTGCAACGTGCCATCCATCATCTCGTTCCTTTGCCAGTTGGAAATGAGTAACAGTGATGGACATGATTATGTAGTTGTGTCACACTCGGATTGTTTTTGTTTTTTTAGTGTGGTTTTCTCCTCGTGTGAGAGGGGGATATGTTCCAGTAGATCCCGTAGGTTACCGTTTGCTAGGTCGATGTATTGTGTGCTGACCCGGCACATGTGAGCATGATGCTAGTACTGACTAGACACTGTTAGGACCTGTCTAGACATGCGATTGTCTGTACCGTAGCATTAATCTAGTACATGCATGGCATGCAATACCTGCCGGATCATATGACGGAACTGGTTTGCTGATTGGCTGTACGTCTGTTCGCTTTATCAGCTGTGCTTTTTTTGTTATAGTACTAGTTTCACTTTGGAGAAGGGAGAGTTTTTTTGTCTCTTTGGAAAGCAGAGTTTTTTGGTCCTGGAGAGAGGACAATAGCAGAGTTGGTATGTCCGTGCCAAGGCACGATGATGTGTGCATACTATTAGTCTAGAGATTTTCGTTCAGTTACGAAGAACAGAAATAAAATACAGTCTTCTTTGGAGTCCAGATTTCGTGACCGAACATAACCCCTGCTATAAATGTGTTATTTAGGCAGACTGGACCATTGTGCAGGTCATAAAGAAGAAATGGGGCAGATACACGACTTACAATTTTCAAAACCTGGCTTCGTGTTATGTGTAATTTGTGTCAAAATTGTAGTATTTCAACATGACAATATCACTGGCTGTACTTCTCTTATATGGTACTTAACCCCTGCTATAAATGTGTTATTTAGGAAGACTGGTGTATTGTGCAAGTCATAAAGAAGAAATGGGGCAGATACACGACTTACAATTTTCAAAAACCAGCTTCGTGTTATGTGCAATTTGGGTCAATTTTTAGTATTCGGATTAACCTAGGATACGACTCTGAACAGTTCTGAACAGTTACCGCAACACTACACGCCGTTTCATAACTGCTGCTGTTGCCATCACTGGTATCAAGTAGTTCGGACATGGCAGGAGCTAAACAAATGCTGGTAGTCTTTCAAAGAATACTGGCGAGTGATAGGCTGTAAACGAAATGTGCTGCCTCAATAATTTCAAAAACTAGACACCCATGCGGCACGCTTGGAGGTGAAGTACAGAAGGCGAGTCGATCCGAGTATGACCTTTTGGACTGGACTGGACTGAATTATTCCAAAAATAACAACGAGGGGTCACGGGTGCGAGTCAACCCCTGTGACACGGATTTCTGTGCCGTGTCACCTCCCTAGTTTGAGTACGACTCCCTGCTGGCCATCAATAAAAAGTTGCAAAAGCATTGAATCAAGCAGTGCACCTTGTTGTCCTGGGTAGGCTCGACGAGCGAGCCGACGAAGTTCCGTGGCATACCCGTGCTGAGTTTCACTCGCCAGCTTCACTCGCTGGCGAAGACTGGCCTCGTGCATCAATGCTTGCTGGGGCGGCTCAAGACGGACATGCAGAGCCTCGACTGCGTCGGAAAAGTTTATGTCACGCGTGTGAGTTAGAATTTCGGTGAACATCTCATGAGCTGTACCAACAAGGCGAGCAGGTAGTAGCCGTAGCTTTTGGTCGTCGTCGTACCCACTCAGCTCGCATGTGTGGACGAAATGCCTCATGTACGTGGTGAAATCTTGGCCTGGCTGATTTCCGAATGTCTCAGGAAGCAAGACTGGCTTCGGCAGTGGACGTGCATGTGGTGTGTCTGTGTCCGGCAAACGAAAACGATGGGACAACCCTTGTACCGGCGAACTCTCGCGCTCTTCAGCAATGCTCATGTCACAGCCAGCTTCAGCGAGGCTACGCTCTAGCTTTTCTTGTCTCTTGGATTTCGCTGAACGGCCCATTGTGAAAAAAAAAATTGTTTTTGTATTTTTGAATTTTCGAAAAAAATTATCTGCAAAAATTTCCCGTGGACTCGATCGACGCCTCGATCAACTATCGATCTAATTCTAAATCTATTACGTAACCTATCGTGCGTAGCGGCAAACAACTAAATTTGGCAGAGACAACTCAAGACTAGACTACAACAGAACAGAACCTGGAGCATGCGCTCTTCTATGTGAGTGGCTCATTGCCAAGGGGAACGAGCGGGAAATACAAATAGTGAGTATTCAGGTCGTAGCATACATACACCTATTACACAATCATGAACAAAAACTACTTGAAAACCGGTCCTGTGTAAGCAGAAGAAGAATTTGTTCATACTCATATATAATTTGTGTCTTTCCCTCAAACTAGTCAAGATCATATATAATTATAATCAATCTGCGATATATATAATATATATGTATAATTTTAGAATTGCGATAAACAGAACGAGCTGAACAGTCATTAAATTTACACAAAGGAAATATCGTGTTCAAAACGAGTGAATACGAAGGCGGTGAAGAAAGAGGAAGGAGAAACAAATGTGATATGGAAGAAATGATGAAAAAAGAATACTTCGATACTGTCTTACACACACACACACACACACACACACACACACACACACACACACACACACACACACACACACACACACACACACACACACACACACACACACACACACACACACACACACACACACACACACACACACACACACACACACACACACACACACACACACACACACACACACACACACACACACACCGTCAGGCGAAATAGCACGTCATCGTACATTTGAGATCAGCGGGAAGAAGATGACGACGTCCACTAATTTAGTATCTGTGCACACGAATCTGCTGTGTGTGTGACTCTGTGTGTCAGCTATGATATCATCTTCTGTGGTTCCATGCCTAGCATGTACGTCTGAACCATCCTGCAAAGTTTGAATGACGTAGGTTGAGCGATCGCTCCGCGAAATATACTTTTTGAAATTCTCTTCATAGTATATCTTCCACCATTGAAATTTCGAATTTCTTCAAAAAAAGTGCTGAGAGGGGTGGCTTGCAACCTCGATATGGCTTGTTCCAGGTATGCTTTGGAGCCATCTTCTGTTGAAGTAGTGGCGGGGATCTGCCCTGCAACTGCTACAACAAAAAATGATTCGATCTGAGAAAGGGTGAGACCGCGAATCTTGGTTGAATATTGAGTATTTCAAGCCTTTTCACGACGAAGATGGAGTTCTTTTTGGAGATGGACGTCGTGGCAAAGGACATGGTGTCCGACGTCTGGCGTCTGGTGAAGCCAGGGACCATTTGTCCAGCCAGGTCGGCAGCCTAACCGTCGGTAAGCTTGTGTTTGGATCCCGTTCTGCTCGATGTGGTAGATCACAAACAATTTGATATCGCACAAATTGATCTCAGCATCGTGCGTACGGTATTTTATATTCAGAAAATCCCAAAGTGTCTCTGTGTGGCCGTCCTATGCCACGAGAAACTCCAATCAGGCTCCTATGTCCTCTGCCTTCATGATTGAATGTCCACTTCGTTTGAACAACGAACACAACAATAGAGGACGGCTTTGCAATGAAAAATACAGCTATACTGGAGCTGAAAAAAAGAAGAAAAAAACGTGCTCAGGATGAGACTCGAGTACACGCATACTCTCCCAGCAGGTGAAACGCAATTTTTTGTGAAAAATGCGTGACGCCGACTGACCAGTAATTTCGCCTGACGCACACCGCACACCGCACATACACACACACACACACACACGCACACACTTGTACTTGTTGCTCACTGCCAAAACTGGTCACGTGGGTCTACCCGGGAGAGGGGAGAGAGACTCAAAAGGAATCTTGGAAAGATGACTCAATTGGCTATTGAACCGCCCAACGGCCGACACCCCCTGAAATCCCCAAAACTCTGGGTGGACTTGAAAATGATCCCACTTATGGGCTCACCACACCTCGGTAAGCGGGTGGGGACAAGGTGCAGAAAAAAAGGATTGACGGCATCAGGGTATCCGTCCCGGGATCCAACTGCAGTTACCCCTGCCCCCAGTGAAGGTAATACTTGCTACTAGTGTGGGTGGCTAAATCAGAGGGGATCTGATATAAGCGTCACTAGCACCATTGTGCTACTCGGCCTCTATATAGAAAAACTGAGTCTCACGCGAAGCGTAAAATTTTTTTAGCATCATTGATTACACAAGAGTTAACCTAGCCAGAAGCAGTCCATGGTTAACAGGTATGTATACTTCAAATAGAAAGTATATGAACCCTGGAACCAACAAAGGTGGCAGGTACAACATTACACCTTCAAGTAGCCGAGCCTGTTGGCAACAGACCCAACACAATCAGGCATAAGTGTACCCACCAACTGAACTAGCTGGCACACACACGCACACACACACACACACACACACACACACACACACACACACACACACACACACACACACACACACACACACACACACACATGCATGCACGTACATATACACACACACATTAGTTGTAGGCTTACCGACACGTCCTGCTGCAAAATTTCTTTCCCAGCCAGTATTTGTGATCATCTCGACGCTGTCATCAACAGTACCATGCCACAGCTTCTTAATGTCACACTTGCCACTGCAGTGCTGCTCTTTGTTTTTCTGATCTGAAACTACCGCCTTGAAGCGACCGTAGAAGTTTGGATTCTCTACACGCTGCACACGTGTTATGTTGTTTGTGGCTGTCTTGCGAAACAACTCCACTGCTTCCTTGTATTCACGGTCTGTTGATTGAAGGTCCACTAGTTGGTATCGCTCCTTGCCGCTGGCCGTCCAGTACGGTGGAAAGGGGTCTTTCTTTTTCTTCAAGTACTCTACTGCTTTGCGCTTTGTTGCTTCAGCTTCTTTCTGCTTCTTATTTGCCAGCCTTTCGAAGCCTGAGAAGTGGCAGAGGCAAAGTCCACACATATAATACTGAAGTATACATTTGATGAGTTTCTGTGGAGGAGAAATTTTATAACCATACTTTTCGTGGTTTTAGCCGCACCGGGGTCTAAGCCGCACCCCCACCCCCCTTTTTCAGGCCCAAAATTCATATCCTTTTTGACATTCGGAGTACAAGCCGCACGTCAGATTTAGATTTTTTGGCCAAACTTGATGGGTGCTAGACTACTTGTACAATACAAGACGTTTTAAAGGGGAAGTTAAGCCTAAAATCAAATATTATACCAGTTGGAGTCTTCGGGGTGCTGAGTTAAATGGTCTTGGTCCGAGGAAGCTGAGACGCTCCCTTCCTCCTTTATTCCCAATCGAACTCGTGCACTTCCACCGAGACTGGGTGACTGCGCCCTACTAGATGGGGATTCGTACGCAAAATGTCACTAAAAGCGCCATTTCGTTCTTATAAAAGCCCAGATGATCGCGATTGGACCATATGTTGTAGTCTTTTGGACACTGAGTCGACTGGTTTTGGTCCGAAAAGGCTGCGATGTAGCGTTCGGCCCTTATTCCCAATCGAACATGGCTGAACAAGCGATCACGTGCTCCTGCGTACACCAGTCACCTGGCCACTGTGCCTGCAGGCTACAACTTGCAGCATGTTCGGGCGAGTTTCTGTCACTCGAGTTGAACCTTTGAACCTTAGAGTTGAACCTTGGTGTGAAAGTTGTCGCCTCCCTCCCCTCCCTCCCTCCCTCCCTCCCTCCCTCCCTCCCTCCCTTTCTCTCTCTCTCTCTCTCTCTCTCTCTCTCTCTCTCTCTCTCTCCCTATCGTGCTCTATGTTGAGCCACATTGCCTCAATCTCAGCCTGCACCCGCATTACTCCAAACTCTGTGCCCTGTGTGTTTGTGTACTTCATAGCGGTCTAGTATCTGCATGTGCATGTGGGGTGTGAGCTAATTAGTATCAAAAGAGCATTCTTTCTAGACTAAAGAGTGGTATATAATTATGATAAATAAAGGTAGAAATATTTTACTTTTTTGATATTACTTCCTCCGCGTCATTAAATTTTTTTTCGCTTCCCAGATCGATTTTTCGAATTTTTTTTGTCCACTCAAAGGGCAAAGAAATCAGCTAGAAATTGAGGCAGAGCATTGTCGACGGACCAAACTTTAGTTTGTGGCCTCCCGCTTCGCTGTACTTGCAGCTAAGGTCGACGTCTTCACCAGAGCTTGAGGCAGACCCTTCAGCACTCAACAATACGCTGAACAAGACGCGCGTTCAAATTCAGGTCAAGAAACTTCGTTTTCAAGCGATCCATGCCTCCAGGTGGCAGGCGATGAAGGCAAGCTAGCATTTTTCAAGTACACTGTAACGACCTTCCAGCGGGATAGGGTAAGCAGTTCCGCACCTTCTTTCCTTGGCAAGCGCTTCGCTGATTTTGTTGGTGTTTTCAGACCTGCTACCTTCGCAGCACCATGCGCCACAAGTAGCGCATTTTAGGAATTTGAGAACACCTTGTTCTTGCCATCGTCAACTTCAGCATTTCGTATTCAGGAGAGATACCAGGATTCTTATACCCAAGCTTGCAGTCTTGATAAATGCCCACGCGAACGATGTGGGACGGCACCAACTCCAGAAAAAACAATATGCGCTCTGGGGCGGAATAGTGCGGAGCGCGATGAATTTGCTTGGCGCGGAAGAGAGCTCCGACAAAGTCTGAGACCATCACGGCTTCAGTAACAAGTAGACATTGCGCAGGGTCGCACCAATGTTCGAACACAGAAAACAGCGATTCCGACAGTCTGACTAAGACGAGCCAAGTCACAAACATTGCGATGTGCGAAGCGACGATTTTAATGACGCGGAGGAAGTACAATGAGAGTGGCTAATCAATGGCTTGTCTACCAACTCTTTGCGATAACTAGCTCTAACACATCTACGAAGCGCAAACCAACAACCTTTCAACTTGGAAGGCTCAGGTGCGGAAAGTTCCAATGAGGCGAACGTCTCAACATCCATGTCATTTTGTACCTTGTGGTCGTACTATCTGACTGTATATTGTCTCGTTACCTTGGTGGACGGTTAGTCATAACTCGTAACTACTTATTGGTCCTTTCTCTTTACATGCTCCTATTGGCTCGACATCCGAGTTTTTATTAAGAAATATTATAGACAAATTTGCAAGTTTGAACAGGTAAAACATTACATTAGAATGAAACCTTTCGCCTTTACCTTCTGAAGTGGGTACAATGGGAAGGAGGAATATCTGGGAGAATCAACTATACTTCTTTGCAGCACACGTGTGAATATACACATTCGGAAACAAAAGCAAAATGGAAAATGCAAGCATTGTGCACCAAGCCGGCTGTACACATGTTCAGAACTTGTCCTTGTAAAGTTTTTGTAGAAGAGTGTATTCTCTATGGCAAACACCTCCAAGTTACGGGCACCTCGGTCTGAGTATCGGGCACCTGGCTGTGGGTGAGTTGTAGTGGAAATAATGCATGAATGTTCATGAATGCACATGCACATGCACATGTGCGTGTGTGTGTGTGTGTGTGTGTGTGTGTGTGTGCCTTGAACAGGCGTCCTTACCAGCTTCACGTTGACGACTTTCCTCCAGCCGAAGTTGACTTTGTGCACTGTTACACTTTTCAGCAATTTGTGCCTGTACCAGAGCCATGTCTGATGTGTTGCCATGTAGGACAATTGTGTTAGTGTCCTTGTATCTCAACAGGACACTGCGATTCTCAGCTCCCAACTCAATCTGCATTTCATCAGAAGCCGACAGAAGTTCCATGTCTGGATGTTGAAAGATGGATGATTTCAGAGTGCTACTGATTCGGCTCTGGATTCGCTTCTGTGTCGACCGAGTGGATCTACTATCAGGGCCAGTGAGCTTGAAGATGACCTCTTGCTCCTCGAATTCGGAGTTGTTTTTGTATGCCATTCGGTCAAGTCGATCCTGTTTGCGTACTGCCCTTGGATCAGTATCCAGGTCCTGGTCAAGCGCATCATCTTCATCGTCATCATCCTCTTCAAAGTCAAGCTCATCGACTTCCTCTTGCCTGCTAATAGTCTCTGCGGTGACTTCGAACTCGTCCTGAAGAGTGGTTGGGTGAGATGGAGGCGGTGCACCAACTGACACCATGGCTTGTGCGGTGCTCTGGACAGCTAGCTGGAACGGTTGCAGGTGATTAGGTGCGTACACCACCAGGAGGATAGACTTCAAGCTGGTCCGTGCCATGGACTGAGCACTGAACTTTCTTATGGCATTCATTGTGCCGTCGGCACAGTGTGTCACATCAAAGCCAAGGCCACCCGCTCCGAGTGCTGGAATGGCGATGGAGGGGCAGTTTAGCTGGCTTGCTTTCTCCAGGCACCCCAGGACAACATCTTCTATGAATTGCTTTTGATTTGCTACCTTTGATGCATAGTTCATTACAGCGTGAAGGATGTGCTTGATGTTTTTCAGGTTTCCACCCGATGTATCATACACCTGTCCTGGCGTAGCAGCAGTTTTCAGCTTGGCTTTTCTGCCATCCAGTGACTTCTGGACGGAGTCACCAGCCACGGCTAAGATGGCTTTCGACATTCCTGCGCTTTTCATCTGCAGATCGGGCATGACTGTTGTGACGATAGCAGCCACATTCTCTGTTGCAATGTCAGCTTGTTTAACCTTGGTTGTAATGCATGCAGCAGCAGCAGCAGCAGCAGCATTGGATGATGGTTTATTCACCAAACTACGTTGTGTCCGGGTAGCCGGTCTGTTCGTCACGCCAGAAGCCGACCGCACTTGGTCCAGGTGAGCCTGGAATGGAGGAACATGCCTTTGGTCATACATCACAAGTCGTATGGTCTGCACTGTACTCGATCCAGCCTGTGAGTCGAAAGCTTCGATGGCTGCAAACGTTGCCTGCACGCAATCTTGCACAGAGTAATTCAGGCCACCAGCACCCAAGGCAGGAATTGCAATTGAGGTACATCGGAGTTTGCTGGCCTCATCCAGACACTTGGTAACGATGGCTTTGAGGAAGTCTGTGGGTGAAGAGGTCTTTTCAGCATACTCCATAACGGCGTGTAGGATGTACTTGCTGTGTAAACTGCCAGCACTGGTCTTAATCACTTGACCAGGATTGGTCTTCTTCTTGCCGCGGCCATTTATCGTGTTCAGCTCACCTTGAACCCCTGGGCCTGCCACTCTTGCTACATTCTTGGACATGTTCGCCTTGGACATGTCCAGGCCGCTCATCGCAGTGATGACGATGGCGTCAACTTGCTCACCCGTGATGTCACCCTGTGCAACTGTAACGTTGTGAAGTGGAGGTGTAGCTGGACGATTGGACGTGGTCCGTTTCCGTGGTCCCGGCTGTTGAGTCCTGCTGCGGTGCTGGCCAGACTGAGCACCCAGAGTTGCTCGGCGGTTTTGCAAAGGCGCCTGAGAATCTTCATCGGAGTATTGATCTGAACTAGAGGAGCTGTCGGGGCTCGAGTCGCCATCACCTGCCCCATTGTCGCATGTGGTTGATATCTCATCTAGGAAGATGGAGTGCATGTTCGGATCAAAGATGCACAGGATTATCTTGCGCAATCGTGGCACTGACGTCGACTTGCTGAACTTGACCACAGAGCCGATGAGAATCTCAGCAACACGTCCGGGAGGGTAGTGACTGTTACCGGCACCCAACGAAGGCAGAGCAAGTGAAGCCAGGCCTTTCTCGTTAGAATCCCTCATGATGTTGATCGCAGCCGTCTCCAACACCTGAGCACGTAGCAGCAGAAGAATGAGAAGTGGGCAACAACGATTCGTCACTGATCATGAAAACAAGTGCTTGTGCCCTGTGAAGTGTTTGATTATGAAATACACTCCTTGTAATGATCTGCGGAGCCAAAATGTATCAGAAGGGCCAACTAAACAGTAGGAAAGGGAAGGAGGAAGGGTGGGTGTGTGTGTGTGTGTGGGGGGGGGGGGGGGGGGGGTGTTAAAATACGGCTAACAAACATACCCATGAAGACAAGTACTGTAAAAGCCCTATATATAACGAAGTGCTAACTCTAACGAATTAACGAGGAGAAATCTGTCATTAAAATAGAAATCGTTATACAGAAATCGATACATATACAGTCCTATTGAGAGTTGAGAATGAGTGAGAATCGTTACCTTTGCTACACGTAAACTAGTCAATTTTGGGAAATCGTTATAATTATATGCGCCTCGTTAGAATAACAGCTTTTACAGTAGAACATATTGACGAGACGCATGGGAAGAACCATAAAAGTCAAACATGTACCACACACGCACGCATGCATACATGCACGCATGACCACATGCACACACTTCACACACACGCACGCACGCACGCACACACGCACGCACACACACACACACACAAACACTGTACCCAGTAACTATGCTGTATCCTACCTGCTCTGAATCGTGCCCAGAATAATTCGGCAGGACAGCATGGTACACGTGGCTGGCTTGTAGATTGTATCCCTTGGTCACCTTGAATGTACCGGCCACGCTGTACAATCTTGGAACATTCTTTTTGCAGACGAGACCCTGCTGCTCTGCTGATAGCTGCGGCAGTAGGACCAGCTCCATTCATCTGCAAACTTGATCCGCACGAATTGACAATGGCATCAGCCTGCACCACAAAAAGGAAAAGCATACAGTAAAAGCTGATATAAGCAATCTGAGTGGTGGTATTACAGACCACCTACTTTTAACGACCGTTTTTCCATGCACGGACAGTTCTACACAGGAGCTGCACCGGATACAGCGACCATCTGCCTTGCGCAACCAGCGACCGGCATTTAGTGCACCAAGTGCCATACTGGACCTGCACACAGCGACTAAAACTAGCCAAATGGCTGGTAGGGTTGACTGCAACAGGGCTGAAATGCGCTCCGAAGCAAATGCATGCAGTCAACAGAAGTGACAAGTGACAGTGCAGGATGCGCTGCATGCACTTGAGTGAGGTGTGCTTTGCCTGCACAAAAGTATTCTACCCTCCACACCTGTCAATATGAGTACATGGAAGTACAATTATGCACAGGTATGTACACGATCCGATATGCCACGATTGTAGAGGACCTGGTTCTAAAGGCCACCTGGCTTTAATGACCGCTTGCACCGTGGGGTGGTCGACTGTACACTGTGCTTGCGAGCCCGGTGCTTGCGATCCCGGTGCATGTGAGCCCAGCGTGCGCAAACAAACTCAAACTGGCCAGTTCCAAGTGCCCAACATCTGTGTGTATACTTCATATTGCAACTCTGTGTGACAATGTGAGCATTTTGACAGATATTTTTGGGTTCAAATAATCAGGGTTACACCTGTGTAGGATTAGTCTTCTAATATGTACGTGAAAGGAGTATTCCAGCTTTGGCAGTTGAAAGCATACCTGACAAAGAGAAATATCTCCTTGTTGAACTTCGATAGCAACTCCCTCTGGAGTGGTCAAGCCCTTTCCATTCGGCGAGAGCTTGCAGATACGTGTAGGCTGCGCTGCCTTCTGGGGCAAGAAGTATGCTGCCGCCATTTTCACTTTGTTGAAGATCCCTGGGTTCTCAGGTGCCGCTCTTGACTTTTTTCGTGACTTTGGCTTGGGCCGCTGGTGTGATGGTGGCTCATTCAGCATTTCCTGGGCAGCCATGTCTGTACCTTCGCAGCACTGGGCCAATTCTGAACTCAGTAGTTCAAGTATTTCGGGCCTGAGGTCAATGAACACAACCTTCTTCAAACGGCAAGCTGGGTTTTCACTCAGCCATGACACCGTGGCATTGGCCAGCTCACTGGCACAGATCTCGTCTGGAAAGCCGAAAATCAATGAGGAGATTGCGGGCACGGCTACAGTGTCCAGGTCTTGGGACTCCTGTAGGACGTTCTGCATGCATTCAGCAAGCTGCGATCGGCACTTCTGCTGCTGATGACGGTCCCATCTGGGCCCCACGGCGTGTAGCAAGACCTTGCAGGGTAGACGACCAACAGTTCTTGTGCGATACACAGCGGATACGGACAACTGGCCACCGCTGACTTGCCGAACATGGCGAGATGAATCTCGTTGAATATCCGGACCACCGGCCCGGGATATGGCCCCTGCCACTCCTGCACCATGTTGAAGGCGTTCATTGCATGCATTTGTCATGGCCGAGCAGTGAAACTTGGTGATATCACCTTTGTACACCAATAGTTGCTTTCCTGCCGGCAGACTGTACGTCGCCATAAGTTGGGCGCTTCCTGGGTTGTGTTTGGCCAAGCCATTGGGCACTTCGTCAGCCTCGCCATCGTCTGAGGATTCCTCTTCACTTTCCATCTCGGCTTCACTCCGGGACATGATGTCAACGTCCACATTGGAGTTCCTCCCCTCGTCTACAACCTGCGCTTTGTACTCGGCGTTGTTCAGATGGTCCTTTAAGCCCGGCATTGCCATTGGAAACTTCTGCACATGGTACCGTGCAGCCAAAGTTTTGAGCTCGGCGTGAGCTGCCTCAACATCTTCACTTGGTCCTTTGAGCTCAATACGGTTGTTGCGGTCAGCAAAGTGAACTGTAGACGATTTAGCTTTCAGTGTCTCTATCTGTTCGCCATAGTGTTCCTTCATGAATTGAAACTGGGACGCACGCAGTTTAAACACCACCGTCTGTCGTCCCCTTGATTCAAGAATGACCCTGACCTCTTCTTCACATTCGGAAACGGCGCTCTTTTCACCGCAGATGTGAATACTTGATGTGCGCTTATCAGTGTGTACTTGAAACAATCTAGCTTCCAACTCTGCTCTGGATTCCAGAATGGCGGACTTGAGATCAAAACGATTAACTGCTGTCAGTTCACTCTTGTCCATGCCGATCTCAGTGAATGTGAGGGACGCATGAATGTCTTCCACAGCTTGGTCATATTCATACTCATCAGCTTCATGGTAGAGAACTTCCACTTTTGCTCGCTGACTTTGCCCTTTGGTAGTTCTCAAGCGGCACTTCGTTCCTTCGAGACACTGCCTGATGTAGTCTAAACCAGCTTCAGAGCGCATTAGTTGACGAACATGTTCATTTTCAAACGTCAATACCGTCGTCTTTACTTCCTTGATAGCCTGCTTGAGCTGGTTTGAAGCATCGGTCACCCTCTTTTCTTGGCCCGAGATGGTGAGTTTGAATATGCCTGGTTTGATCTCTTCTTCCACAATGCTTTCCACCCGTGTTGCGGTCTGAATATTCTCTATGCATCCAGCCATCTTCAGCAGCTCCAGCACATCTTCCTTGACGTTGCCAATGTCGCTTGTTCCTTTTTTGGTCGTGCTCTTTGCTTGTTTGGCGAGTAGTGATACAAACTGAGATGCGTCAGTTTCCACACTGAACACATGCAGGCATGCCTCCTCTGGGTTCGCAACCACTTCAGTGTTGTTTGGCAGCAGTGTTTCGGAACACCAGTCCAGCAGCATGTCATGGTATTCGACTGGCACAGCCACTTTGGCCTCCTGGACCAGCTTGAAGGCATGTGCTAAAGCCGCATTGACAGCCTCTACCCAGTGTGTTATGTATAGCGCTTTGCTTCCAGGCCGCACCACAATGTGATCTCCATTGATGGTGAACTCTGCATGGATATCATGAAGTTCCTTGACCAGCATTTCCTTGAATGGTTTGCAGGACTTCAGGAATGCAGCCTTTGTGTTAGGTATAGGCTGTTCCACCTTCTCAGGCATGCTGCTCAGTCGCATCTTTCTCTCGTCATCTTCACGAGCAGGGAAATGGAAACCCTCAAACTGTTCCGAACATTCAAGTTGATTGCCGGACATGGCAGAGCTGGTCTTGGCAGTCCTTGCAGCTGAACATTACACACACACACACACACACACACACACACACACACACACACACACACACACACACACACACACACACACACACACACACACACACACACACACACACACACACACACACACACACACACACACACACACACACACACACACACACACACACACACACACACACACACACACACACACACACACACACACACACACACACACACACACACACACACACACACACACACACACACACACACACACACACACACACACACACACACACACACACACACACACACACACACACACACACACACACACACACACACACACACACACACACACACACACACACACACACACACACACACACACACACACACACACACACACACACACACACACACACACACACACACACACACACACACACACACACACACACACACACACACACACACACACACACACACACACACACACACACACACACACACACACACACACACACACACACACACACACACACACACACACACACACACACACACACACACACACACACACACACACACACACACACACACACACACACACACACACACACACACACACACACACACACACACACACACACACACACACACACACACACACACACACACACACACACACACACACACACACACACACACACACACACACACACACACACACACACACACACACACACACACACACACACACACACACACACACACACACACACACACACACACACACACACACACACACACACACACACACACACACACACACACACACACACACACACACACACACACACACACACACACACACACACACACACACACACACACACACACACACACACACACACACACACACACACACACACACACACACACACACACACACACACACACACACACACACACACACACACACACACACACACACACACACACACACACACACACACACACACACACACACACACACACACACACACACACACACACACACAAACACAAACAAACAGAGAAACACCTGTGAATAAAAAATTAATACCAGTAGAGAGCTATCCTCTTTAGTAAACTAAAGAGGTCTTGAAATATCCCAGAGAGATGCACATACTAATATGGTCTTAATTAAGCCACATTGTAGTGGCTCAATAGCACAGGACAGATGTGTGTGTGTGTGTGTGTGTGTGTGTGTGTGTGTGTGTGTGTGTGTGTGTGTGTGTAAGTGTGATAGTATGTATGTACATGCGTGTGAGTGTGTGACTGTGCATATTATACATACATGCATGAGGGCAGAATCAACTGACCGTCAGTGTGCAAAGATTCCAGAAAGGAAATGGCATAAATTTCTAAGATTGCCAGCCACTTATTGCATTATCTCACCTGCTGGGTCATCATAGGTAACTCTGACGCTATCTCGCGATTGCTTAGTCACGGCCACTGGGTTTGATGGCCTGAGCAACTCCCAAGCATCAGACTCAACCTCGTCACGCTCGCCCGGGAACTTCGCGTACAGGGAGCATGGTGACTTGACTCTGCGAACTCGCAAATAGCGCCGTCCTACTTCGTCGAATGGCGAGTCTGCGCAGCTGGATTCAATGAGGTCGAAGTCTAAACACAACATAGCAGACAAGAGCAGACAGTATTATAGTATTGTATGCTCAAATCCAAATACCTGCATGCAACGCATTGCACACTTATAAATTTATAAAATCTCACATAAGAAACGAGCATCGTCAGCATGAAAATTGACACTACCCGATCAGTGAAGGTATTGTCCCATCCCATTCCCAATGACATTTACGTTTACTTCCCCCGCAGTTTCCTGCTTTGAATCATAGGCTATGCCATTGATAAGGCACAGGGAAAGAACCAGCACTCAAGAATTGTTCAGGCAGATATGCAAAATATCACGAACTGGGATAGTAGCTGAGGAAGTACGGCAACCCGCATCACTAAGTTGGCCCTCTCCCAAGCTAGCTTTGTCCTGTCAGGCTCTGTGTTCTCAACTTGGTGTTGGCCCTCTCCCAAGCTGGCCTTGTCCTGCCTGGCTCTGTGTTCTCAATCCCGGTGTTGGCCTTCTCCCTAGCTGGCCTTGTCCTGCCTGGCTCTGTGTTCTCAATCCCGGTGTTGGCCTTCTCCCTAGCTGGCCTTGTCCTGCCTGGCTCTGTGTTCTCAATCCCGGTGTTGGCCAGCCCCACTGTGTATGTTACCAGGGTCACAGCAACAATTAGTTGCCAACCATGCAACTCCTGATGTCGCGCATGGTAATTTATTCAGGGTAGCAATCAACCACCCTCCAGTAGTGAACACCTAACCGGTAAACTGGCTGCTACTTACACAGCTGCAGCACTGCTGGAAAGTCACATACATGGGCCAAACTCATGCAGGCAGGGATACTCACCAATTGATGCTCTGAACCGGAAAAGGGCACGGTCAAATCGGAACTCAGGCGGTGGATGGATGTCAGATGGTTTGATACCAGCCATTCCAGCCATGTAGAACTTCAGCTTGCCTTGCTCCCAGCTGATGTCACCTGGTATGTCAAGAACAAGCAGATGATCGTCCATGTATTCAGTGGTCGCAGATGTTGACTTGGTCTGTTCAGTGACAGCCTGCTCCTCGCAAGGTACTACTTGCCCCGCTGTCTCATTGGTTGGCGCCAGGATGGATTGCATTGCTTCCAGTGAGAATGGCCGCACAGTGAGAATGTTGTCGATGATATGATGCTCTCGATCGGTCAGGGACGCAGCCACTGGAGAAGGGCACAGAAGACAGAGGAAATGGAAATGCTATTCTGCCGCAACCATTCATGCCAGCATGGTGCAGTTTTTTGAATTTTTGTAGGTGTGTTACGAAAACACTGCCACTAGCTTGACACACACACACACACACACACACACACACACACACACACACACACACACACACACACACACACACACACACACACACATACACACACACACACCTTGAACCTTGAACGTGCCCATAGCCGATGGCAATGATAGCGAAGGGACTATCTGCCAGCTTTGCAGTACGGAGCGTGGCGCTTGAGATCCCCGCGACGACGGCAGACCTTTCCACATGCGCAGCAGAAGCCAGAGTCAGGATCAGGGGAGCACGTGCGGGAGGACGACGATGAGCAATCTGCCTCCAGGCAGAGCGATCCTGGGCAGCATCAAATCAGCAGTCAGAAGGCACAGGGGGCTGATGGAGCGGAGATCATCCACAATGACGTCACGCCACCGCTTGCGTGGACCATGGCGAGAGCGCGTTGCAGGGAGCTCCCCAAACAAAACTCACTTCGGCATATGGTCGTTGTTCATCCGGCCAACATGGCCAAGCCAACGCAGTCGATATTCCCGGATGATGTCCGCGACGTCACAGCAATGCCGAGGGTTCTGGCCATGGTAATGGAGGTGACGCGGTTGTCCCACTGGTCCCGCCTGGATATGCCAACGATGATGCGAACACACTGGTGATGAAAGGCGTTGAGAGAGCGCAGGTCCGGTGCCTTCGGCGTCCACGTCTCTGCTCCGTACAGAAGGGTCGTCAGCACAAGGGCGATGTACACGCGGCGCCGACAGCGGTGAAATAACGATCGATTCTCAAACACCGGGACACGGAGACTGCCGAACACACACGAAGCCTTGGCGAGACGGGACTGAACATCATGCGAAGACTGCCCGTCCCGATGGATGACGCTGCCAAAGTACGCAAAACTGTCAACGGCCTTGATGGTGCTCTCACCAAGAGACACCGGCTCATTCATGGGCGAATTGACAGTCATGCACTTGGTCTTTGATAGACTGACCGTGAGGCCCAACCGCGCCGCACACGAAATGAACAATTCCGTACACACACACACACACACACACATCCATTGAACACGTGATGTGTGCAGGAGTGCAATGTCTGCTCTAGGATTTCAAACCAGCCGGGTACACGTGTACCTGGCACAACTCTTGCAACCGGGTCAGAGCTGGGTACGTTCAAGTGCGGCTACTGTACATAACCGGGGAGTCAGAATTATCTTACGACTCCCTGATTGTGTCCCAACCAGTTCACAACTGACCGGTGTTCTTTTTCCAAGCGGGTCCAAGTACCCCCCCCCCCTCCTCCAACCAGGTCACTGACCCAGCTGACCCGGCTCTGGAGCAGACACTGGAGCGCCAGTATTCCATGCATTTCGTGAACAACCGCCCATGTTAGAATCACACAGTGCAGTTTGAGAATTCTCAACATGGCCAAAAAAGTTCAAGATTTTGGAAATCTGTTGCACGTTTGGAGGATCCGAATAACTCCAGCCGCATGTTTCCGGAACCTACTGTGCTCACGAGGATATGGTTGGGAGTGCATGGAAGGTACTGCACTTGTAGTGGAACCTCGGAATTCCGATTGCCTTTCGGACATGGCAGAGTGGTCTGATCTGTGAAAAATGATCTAAAAAGTTCAAGATTTTGGAAATCTGTTGCACGTTTGGAGGATCCGAATAACTCCAGCCGCATGTTTCCGGAACCTACTGTGCTCACGAGGATATGGTTGGGAGTGCATGGAAGGTACTGCACTTGCAGTGGAACCTCGGAATTCCGACTGCCTTTCGGACATGGCAGAGTGGTCTGATCTGTGAAAAATGATCTTCCTGTACTTGTGCTAGTGGAGGAAAATTCAGGACCGAGCAAAAGAGGTCAGACTGACGAGGTGGTCAGTTTATGGAGGTGGTCGGAAAGCAAAGTTGCACTGCAGCTCTTTCAACATTAACATGTTATCCCTTGCCTTGGGATGGTCTTCAATGGATTCTTGGTGCAGCAGAAACTGTCCTCATATGACAGGATACCGCTTGATTCAGGGATGCATGTTCGATATACAGCAATTTGGTGTATGAAAATTTGTCGGGATTCCGCTTCGCACAGGATCCGGTAAACACAGGTTTTATTGTTAATCATGCGCCATCCAAGAGCCCATCCGAAGATCCGAGGGCCGCAGGGGCCACATGAGTCTTGGCGCTGCTGTCGGCTCGCGGGTCGGATTTCTTTCGCTACAACTGTTCAAGCACACATCCAGCTGCATACAAGTATAATTGAACACTGCCCTGCCTTACAACCATACAACGTTATCATGGCCAGCTGAGATACCCTGGGCAACGAACCCGCAAGGGAGTGCAACAATGCTTTTCGCCAAGCAATAGCAGGGTGCAATTGTAAGCTAGTAGCAACAAGAGAGCTGCCAGCTCAGGGCCCTTGTCATGCTTGTTCTTTACCTAGGTCACTCACATGAGTTACTCAAGCTGACAGAAACGTCTTTGCAACACAGCTATCAAGATGTACCGGACAAAACCCAGCATATATTTGATGCAGTGACCGGACATACACGTATATGGGGTATAATATTTTTATGTATGGAATCTGAGCTTCTGTTATACTCATTCGTGACATCAGACAACTATTATCCTCTCACATGATGCGTCGCCCGCTTAGCTGCCCCCCCCCCCCCCCCCCCACAGAGAGTACGAAATAACACACATGATGACCTATGTAAATACCGAGCATCGTGAGAGCCCCGAGCTTGTAAACCGTGCCGAACGGGTGCCGCCGGAATATGGAGGTCTGGCCGTATGACGTTCAGTCTAATAATAGAAGCAAACGGCCAGCCTTTCTGGGCTATTGTATGCACTGTTCCGGCCAACACAATGCCTACACTGGCAAGACATGTTGTGGTTCGGCAGTGGGCACGTGTGTTCAGCACAGTATCTTTGAGGCATACCCAGACGTCGCTTTGCAAGTAGACAATCAAGGGGGGGGGGGGGTTTCGGTACTTTTTGGTATAGGATACGTGTACTCCGTGAAGTACTGGAACGGAAATAAGCATTGTATACTCGTACTCATAGTAGGCACTTCAGTCACGTGACATGACCTGTCAAAAAGTGCTAACGCTGAATCGCGTACATGCGTGGCACCAAGGAAAGGCGCATGCATAGATCGATCTGTAGCTGCACGGAAGCTGCGCAGGGCCTTCTCGTGTGGCGCAGCATGTAGCTGAGGCCCTCAGCTTTCGTTTGAGCCCACATACGTCATGA